TTACTCTCCACAATGTAAGTCAATCAGAGTTCTGTGGACTCAGGATCGTCCTACAGGTCATAAGTCCGAACCGAGATCCGAACTCTAGACCTTCGGGCCAGCAGCCAGACGCACTACCACCCGACCACACCATGAATAATATTACAAGTCTGTTAACAACATTACGCACTTGTGTTCAAAAGCGTCCAGTGTTAGTACGACTACCGAGTGTTAAGTATTGTTAAAGGTTAAAACACAGCATTTTATATTTTGTTTTAAAAACAAACCACCTGCGGTTTTACAATAAATGGCGCGTTGGTTTTGTCGAAACACACTGTCTCTATTTTAGCTGAGTCGGTCTGTATTTGAGCCCCCCCCCCCCAATCCCCAGTTTTCACACAACAAATAAAGCTCGCGGCTGCAGACCAACAATGCGAGCATGTAACAGTGCCAACAGGTAACATGCCAGTATTTACCTGTGTTCAAGCTACAGGTAACATGCCGATGTTTACCTGTGTCTGCTACAGGTAACATGCCAGTATTTACCTGTGTTAAAGCTACAGGTAACATGCCAATATTTACCTGTGTCTGACCCAGGTAACATGCCTATGTTTACCTGTGTTAAAGCTACAGGTAACATGCCAGTATTTACCTGTGTTAAAGCTACAGGTAACATGCCGATGTTTACCTGTGTCTGCTACAGGTAACATGCCAGTATTTACCTGTGTTAAAGCTACAAGTAACATGCCAATATTTACCTGTGTAACTACTACAGGTAACATGCCGATATTTACCTGTGTTACTGCTACAGGTAACATGCCGATATTTACCTGTGTTACTGCTACAAGTAACATGCCGATATTTACCTGTGTTACTGCTACAGGTAACATGCCGATATTTACCTGTGCTACTGCTACAGGTAACATGCTATTTACCTGTGTTACTGCTACAGGTAACATGACGCACCTGTGTGTCTTCTACAGGTAACATGCCGATATTTACCTGTGTTACTGCTACAGGTAACATGCCGATATTTACCTGTGTTACTGCTACGGGTAACATGCCGATATTTACCTGTGTTACTGCTACAGGTAACATGCCGATATTTACCTGTGTTACTGCTACAGGTAACATGCCGATATTTACCTGTGTTACTGCTACAGGTAACATGCCGATATTTACCTGTGTTACTGCTACAGGTAACATGCCGATATTTACCTGTGTTAAAGCTACAGGTAACATGCCGATATTTACCTGTGTGTCTACTACAGGTAACATGCCGATATTTACCTGTGTCTGACACTCAAACATCTGGCAAACAAACGGCCTGATCGATGTCTACTTTTTCTTCAGTTTTTACCCACAAACCCTTGAAGTAAGGTGACCACAGGTGGTTAACTCACCCCTCCCCCAACCCTTGAAGTAAAAACGACCACTATTTAAGAACTCGTTCTCTCCCCCCTCCCTCCAACCCGCAAATTAAGATGACCACTGGTCCTTAACTCGCCCCCCCCCCCTCCAATTAAGAAGACCACTTGTTATTCTCACCCACCAGATCGAAGTTAGATGACCACTGGCTACACAGAGCTCGCCATAGGCGTGACCACATCCCACCACCACCACCACCAAGTTTCCTACGCTGATACACAAATCTCAACCTTTGTACAATTATCCCTGCACATTTGTCGTTTCCAACCGTAATAGTTAAAGTTAGCGCCACAACCCACCTGCCTTTTACCCCCCCCCCCCCCCCCCCCCGGCCCACGGACGCTGAACACACCGGGTCAAAGGTCAAAACAATTAGCCCATCCGAGGGTTGAAAAGCTCCGGGACCCCGCGATAAATCTCCACCCCGATAATATCTCGAGTTTGATTCTACGGACGTACCGTACTCGCGAATTTTAAAATCAGGATCCGTATTAGGCCACCCGTGAAGTCAGGGGGGGGGGGGGGATTTCGCGGAAAGGGGAGATAATGGAGACTTTGCTTGCCCTTTTGAAGGAAGAAAAATACTAGATTCAACGCTAGACTTAACGTCTATGGGGGGGGGGGGGGGATTTTTATTTAATTTTATGTTTATTGGAAGAATGAAAGAAAATTAAAAGCCTCGTTTGAAGTTTTATTGCATGTTCTGTGTGACGGTCGGGAGTTGGATGGTTGAGTGAGAACGTGTGGGAAATGTGTGGGATTGTCGTGTGAGAATGTGTGGGGAATATGTGGGAAATGTATGTGATTGTCGTGTGAGAATGTGGGGGAATGTGGGGAATATGTGGGAAATGTCGTGTGGGATTGTCGTGTGAGAATGGTGTGTGTGAAATGTGTGAGAATGTGTGGGATTGTCATGTGAGAATGTGGAGACGGGTGTGTGTTGGGTACACATCAAAACATGACGTGTAAAATAAAGTTTCCCTTTCAAACCTGACGGTCTATAGGGGCAAGTGAAGTAGAGTTCACTTGTTTCTGTAACCTCGGCATATGAAGAGATAGTGTGGTCAGCACAATGCCCAGCCGCCTTTACTTTCCCTAACGTGAGTTAGGTACCCATCAGAGTTGGGTGGACTCAGGGACGGTCTACTGACTTGAACCCGGATTCGAACTCGAGACTTACGGGTTAGCAGCCCAGCTCTCTACATGACGTGTGCAGAAATGTAATAACCTGGTGTCGTATACGTGGTGTGCTCCACACAGTCTGGGGTAGATAAAGTCAGTTACACATAAGGGAACCAACAGTTGGTATTAGACATATTTGTTGATATGGGAACTAATACTTTATATGGGAACTAAGAGTTTATATGGGAACTATTAGTTTATATGGGAACTAATAGTTGATATGGGAACTAATATTTTATATGGGAACTAATAGTTTATATGGGAACTAATAGTAGACAAGAGAGTCTGTATTTGCTAGAACTGAGGAAGTAGAGTTTATATGAAATGTCCTTCTTTGCACTATTTCTCCATTGAGTACTGATGTCTAACAAAAGCTAGGTGGCGCGGGGATTGAGGGGGGGGGGGGGGAGGGCATTAGGTACCCAACAAAGTTCGGGGAACTGCGACGTAAGGTACGCAGGTACTAATGGGTTGTATTCTAAGGGGGGTAAGGGTGGATTAAGACCCAACCCCTTGTCTCTCCAACCGTTTGAATGGCAACAAAATCCGGGCCTCATGTGTATCCCAGACAGCCCACGACTTGCGACTGAACTTAAAAACTTGACGGTTTTCTTTGTTGATATTTTATGACAGAGTATCGTGAACTCGAGCAGTAAACAGGTGTATCGCTATAAAGGTACAAACTAGGAATTTCTTCCATTCAGCAATACCTGCCGGAGTGTTCACACATAGGCCTGGCGCCACGGGGCCTATGACATTACCCCCCTCCCCCCGACCATTACACCCCTCATGCTTATTTCCACCCCTCCCGGTAATAACCACATATTTAGACATATTCTCCCTGTACATTATCATGCTGCTTATCCCTATACTATCGATATCCATAACCTCCATATCCATTTCCCTATACTAACCATGCCGATATCCTTAACCAAATCATATCCCTATCGTCAGCTTATCCTATCGGTACCTCCATATCTAAATGACCGGGGGGTAATGGACAAGGAGGTATTTACTACTGTGGTATTTTATTGGACCAGGGGAGGAGTCATAATTATATGTATATTTGGATAATTCATATGGAAAGGTGTGGGGGGGGGGGGGGATGACCGGGATATGTGACTCCACTGAGTACTGTCCACGTCAGCTCTAGGTCGCAATAGTCGTTGAGCGGACGGACCAGGGAGACGCCCACTCTCGTAGTCTGATAGCGAGGGAGCAAAATAGCACTATCACACTATGTGACTTGGTTGTGAGAATTATGTAACCATCATTTATTTGTTGTTAACGCTCTTTGCTAATTAGCTTCACCCTCCTTCTCTACCAATCATAAAACTTATAATCTTATAACCCATCTAGCTAATACATATTTGGTAAACTTTATTGCTATATTAAATAAAAGAATATTTCTAAAGGGAGAATTATTCTTAGAATATAAATTAAATGCATTCTATAATAAGGTTTATGTCTATAAATAGACCTAAATATTGACCTATAGTTACGGATGTAAGCTTTGTAACATCTCCTCAGACACGTAGCGACACTTCCCGGCGCCCGGGGACAAACTTTCAATTTGGCGCCCCTCGGGAGCAAATTTTCAATTTGCACACCCCCTTCAATCTTTCGATTTGCAACCCCCCCCTTTCAAACTATTTAAAATGCAAAAATGCAGCTAAAATAACAATTTAATTTGTTTTTACAACCCATTTTGGCGCCCCCTAAGGTCTGCGCCCGGGGACATATGTACCCCCCTGCCCCCCCCCCCATTCGCTACGCCTCTGCATCTCTCAAGATTTCGACCCACCACTCGTATCTCTAACTTGTCGCCTTTGTTTTTCAGGATTGATTCAACTTTCTGACCAGTGAACTCGGGGTCAGTTCCCAGACCATGGCACACACTCTGGAATCTCTGCTGGGAGAGACGGTGACCCGGTCCAGTGGTCAGCCTGTTCCTGTGAGGTCACTGTGTGGGAAGGAGAGGGTACTCGGGCTTTATTTCTCGGCCAACTGGTCTCCACCGTGTAGGATGTTTACTCCCACACTCAGCAGGTACGTGTGGGTGTGTGTGTGTGTGTGTGAGGGTGTGTGTGTGAGGGTGTGTGTGTGAGGGTGTGTGTGTGAGGGTGTGTGTAAGGTGTGTGTGTAAGGTGTGTGTGTGTGAGGGTGTGTGGGAGGGTGTGTGTGGGAGGGTGTGTGTGAGGGTGTGTGTGGGAGGGTGTGTGTGTGAGGGTGTGTGTGTGGTCACTGTGTGGGAAGGAGAGGGTACTTGGGCTTTATTTCTCGGCCAACTTGTCTCCACCGTGTAGGATGTTTACTCCCACACTCAGCAGGTAGGTGGGTGTGTGTGAGGGTGTGTGTGGGTGTGAGGTGTGTGTATGAGGGTGTGTGTGTGAGGGTGTGTGTGTGGTCACTGTGTGGGAAGGAGAGGGTGCTTGGGCTTTATTTCTCGGCCAACTGGTCGCCACCGTGTAGGATGTTCACCCCCACACTCAGCAGGTACGTGAGGGTGTGTGTGTGGGAGAGTGTATGTGTGTTGTATCGGTGTGAAGTATAACATGTCCCTGCTTTACGTTCATAAAGGTGTCTGTTTGATTATATATGTGTGTGAGTCGTCTTAAAAACGACTTGATAATGTTATGTCACATATGGACGATTCCTGTTAGCATCCGCTACTTAATCTATTTGGTCAACATAACAACTGTCTAGGTTCAATCTCAGATGTTGCTTTAGGATAGTGTATTGGGAGCCCGATAGCCGTGGATGGGGGTCAGGTTCGCTTTGGTTAGGTAGGCTAAAATAAATTAATAATTTTTGGCTTAGCTGTGCAAGAAAGTGACGCAATCACGGTGTTTTCACTTCTAGCTACTCTATTTTTAGAACAAAAGACTTCACTTATTCTGATTGGGCGGTTTCTTAACCTCAAGTCGACGACACCGTTCTGTCACTTGACTTTCGACTGAACCTGTATGCGCATGCATCTGGTTGCTAAAAATAACCACTTTGCCTCGTGTGTCCTGTGGATTAAGCCGGGGATTAGCGTTAAAAGTTTTGGCGGCTTATCTTATGTATCCAGGAAAAAAGGCAAAGATTTAGGGGCCAATGTTTGTACCTTTTCCAATGATTGTGTTTTACGGCTGTTTTTGTTAGACCGCTGCCGTCGCTTATCTTTGTGGAGTGCCGTATTAATCTTGTTAATTTGACGTATCAAACTTTGGTTGCCGAGCAGTCAACAAATATGTTTATCAGCAAGTTTTTTTTTTTTTTTTTTTTGCTATTCGGTTATTAATGCTTCACGCGGTAAATGGATCAACCACTACGTCATTACAGGGTACTAGATTTTGGTAGGCCTTAAAAAAAATGAAATGGTTATACATAAAAAATATAGCAATCCTTAACAAAACAAAACAAATTCTGTGTTAGATATAAATTCAACATTTTCCAAACGGTTTAACATTTGCCAAACAATATCAAATTTTTGTAAAAATAAAATATCAATATTCCGCCTGAAGTATCAAATCAAGACAAAAAACAGACTCATACACAATTATCACATCCAACAAGTACATTTGCCCAGAACATCTAAATCAGTGGTTCTTAAACTGTGGTCGATCGAACCCCAGGGGTTCCGCGAGTTCGTCTCGGGTCTTTCGGTCAAGACACACGCCCGACTCATTTGATTCACGATCAGATTTTGTCGGTATGGTCGAAGGAGTTATTAAAGGGGTTGGGTGAATGCGCATATAAAACGGGTGGGGTTCGGTACCTCCAAAAAGGTTAAGAACCACTGATCTAAATACATAACAAAACTAGGATTATAATATGAAAAATTAAAACCCTGAAAGGTATACACTGACAAATAAAACCTGACAGATATCAAACCCTGACAAATCTATCCTGAAAAATACCAACAGCCTCAGCTATAATTAGACTCGGCTAATCAGGACCTGTTGTTTTCAGTTTCTACGAGTCGCTGAAAGATGGTAGCACGGCGAGCAAAGATCACCTGGAGATAGTGCAGGTTAGCTGGGATAAGGATATCGAGGGCTACACGGAGTCGACCCAGTCAGCGCCCTGGTTGAGTCTGCCATTTAATCAGAGGGACCGACAGGTGAGAGACTTACCTGTGTCAATTAGGGGATACAAAAAATGATCGGGGGGGGGGGGGGGGGGTTGATGGAACTCACACGTTGATGGGGGATGTATCTGTTGTTGTTTTTTTTTTGTTCGTGTGCCTGTCTGATGTGTCTTGTTCCATGTCGCTTGTTCTGACCCCTTTTAGTTATGTCCTGACCTTCATCAGTGATGTCCTGACCCCCTGTCTGTAATGTCCTTATTCCCGTCAGTGATGTCCTTACCCCACCCATCCTTCATTGATTTCCTGACCCCCACTCCGTAAGTGTTGTCCTGACCCCCCTTCCTTCAGTGATGTTCCGACCCCGTCATTTGTTCTATCTTGACGCCAACCAATTTTCTGCATCATATCAATGACGTTCTGACCCCCACCCCGTTTTAAAAAAAAAAAATCCCTGCTAGTTTTGACTCGTTGCCGTGTAGTTGTCGTTTAGACCTTTTAGTCAATTCCTATGCATAACCATATTGCGTCTTTTAGATCAACCTTTGTCCTTTTCTAAAACCTTCCTTTTTTGCTATCTTTATTTGTATCTTTATTACTTTTTTCTTTTCAGTAGCTTGTGCCCTCTAAAACTCGCTAAAACATGTGTATTTAAAGCCCTCTATAACTCGCTAAAACATGTGTAGTTAATACACTCTAAAACTCACTAAATAATGTGTAGTAAGTTCGCTATAAAACTCTCTAAATAATGTGTAAGTTCCGTCTAAAACTCCCTAAAACATTTGTAGTTAATGCCCTATAAACTCGTTAAAACATGTGTAGTTAATGCCCTCTAAACTCGCTAAATTATGTGTAGTTAGGGCCTTACGCCGAGAGCTATCATGTCTTTGTTTACGCTAACAATACACAACAGTACTTGTGTGATAAGGCTCCAGTACAAGTATGTTTATAGCTTCACTGGCATTCCATAGCTGGTAGCTCATGCGTGGAATCCTGTGTCCTAATTGAAGGTTTGACAGCTCCAAAACTCGCACGCCTAGACATTCCTTCACGCTAGACAATCCGCCATTAGCCGTTAAAGAATGGCAGTGGTGGTGGGTAACGAAAAACAAGTCACACTAGGGTGCCATAATGGGGGAGGGGGGGAGTCTTCCGGCGGGACCATGGGCACCAGGCGGGCATTTGTGAAGAGGCCGTTACGCTTCAATGATTCCTGGAAGATGCCTCAAACCGGAAGTGTATAAATAGGTATTATGGTTTTAGCTAAATTAGATGAAATTATTATAGTTTATATATCAAGAGAGCAGCTATAGGGGTAGCTATTATGGGAAAGAATGTGTAGAGATGATGATACAGTAACACAGCAATATGTCTCAAAGACCGTCAAGCTTACTCTATGAATGTAGTACATGTTCTGTAGCACCTGTCAGCACTTTCTGTCTTGGTTTTCTTGTCTTGACCCCCGACACTACTTTCACCTAATTAGTCAGCCCAGAAGTTCTATATTTCAGCTTCATCTTTACTCATAGACTGTCTGCAATGCTTTCCTTTTGTTGGTGTATGTATAGAGAAGAGAAGCTAAATCGATACGTTAGCACGATTGATGTATATAAACACGCATTAGTTATCGTAATTGCTGTACAGTACTTCAGCTCATGAAAAGTTGATGCTAAAAGCATATTTATCAGCGAAGTATCCTGTATCATTGTAGCCTAGCACCCTTGCACTTAGCGACAAGGCACCCTTGTACTCGGCGCCCAGGACCCATCTACCAAGCGCCCTAGCCCTCTTTTACCAAGTGCCCATGTGCCCTAGTCCCTTTGTACCCATCTCCGTTGTACCTAGCTCCAGAGCACCCTTGTACCCAACGCCCCAATCCCCCTGTACCCAGCGCCCCAGTCCCCCCTGTACCCAGCGCCCCAGTCCTCTCCGTACCCAGCGCCCCAGCCCCCCCCCTTGTACCCAGCGCCCAAACCCCGCTGTACCCAGCTTCTAAAAGCACTTTTCCCTTGTTCCCACCTGACCCACTCACAACTTGACCGCATTAAGCGGCGGCCATGTTTCTGCCACTTGTCTCCATCCGCCACACCTGAAACCCAGCCCCGCCCCCAAATCTAACCTGGCCAGGTTTTTCTGTTTAAATACCCCCCCCCCCTACTTTTATTGTTTTTAACTAGCGGCTTTCCCATCTTAGTGTTTGTGATTTGAGATTGCTGTTAATTAATAAAGCCACGGGTTTTCTATTATTATTTTGTCCTTTTTCATCCGTCGACTGACATTTTTGTGCTCAAGCCTAACCATTGTTTTAGAGGTGGTCTTTGTTTTTTAATCAGAAAATCTTGTGGTCTTGAAAATGTGGTCAGTTCTGTGATCACAAGGTCAGTTCGAGGTCAGTTCTGTGATCACAAGATCAGTTCGAGGTCAGTTCTGTGTTCACTAGCTCAGTTCGAGGTCAGTTCTGTGATCACAAGGTCAGTTTGAGGTCAGTTCTGTGATCATAAGGTCAGTTCGAGGTCAGTTCTGTGATCATAAGGTCAGTTTGAGGTCAGTTCTGTGATCATAAGGTCAGTTCGAGGTCAGTTCTGTGATCATAAGGTTAGTTCGAGGTCAGTTCTGTGATCACTAGCTCAGTTCGAGGTCAGTTCTGTGATCACAAGGTCAGTTCGAGGTCAGTTCTGTGATCATAAGGTCAGTTCGAGGTCAGTTCTGTGATCACAAGGTCAGTCCGAGGTCAGTTCTGTGATCATAAGGTCAGTTCAAGGTCAGTTCTGTGATCATAAGGTCAGTTCGAGGTCAGTTCTGTGATCACAAGGTCAGTCCGAGGTCAGTTCTTTGATCGCGATATGAGAGAACTGCACTCACTTAGAGGCCCCTCACATCTACAATAACAGCCACCGCTATGCAACACCCTTTTGTACACATACACCCCAACCCTACATGTTATCACCCACTCCTCTATACATCTTCATCTGACCCCCCTACCCACTGCACCATCCACCCAACCCCACCCTCTGCAACTGATCCCCCACCCCCTGCACCATCCACCCCACCCCCACCCCTCTATCATCGAGTCAGCCAACTCCATTATCCCCCCAATCATTACCTCACATTTTTACATCCACATTCGGATCTGCTTTGAAGACAAAAGCCCACGTACTCGCCAAATTGACTCATGAATTATGCATCCGACAGAAGTGTTAATAAGTCGTAAAAAATAACGTACAGGCCTCTGACAATCAAGGCTGCTTCGTCGATGTAATTGCAATCCCCTCGACGATAACTAGCTCTATGTTATCGCTCTCATTATCGGGTATACCGCCGCGTTTCTGTGTTATCAACAAAACTCGTTAAAAAAAAAACAAAAAAAAAAAAAAACTCATTAATTTTTCGAATTGTCAGGGGCAGTTAACTGTAGCATCATTGAGTCCATTCAATGCGCATGTTTCAGTCAGTTCTCGGTATTGTTTCGTGTTCGCGTCATTATTACCCGATTACCAGATTATTCTCTCAAATAAAAATTGATGAGCGCTTGTAAAATAAAAATGTTAACATCACATATTTTTTTCGACAAATGTTGCCCATACTCAGTTTATTCAAGCGAAATCACATCATACTAAAAAATAATCTCTTCAAAGAAAATAAAAACCAAATAATTCCTCAAAAACAGAAACGTAATCAATTACCCGGAATTTTAAAAATGCGTGTTTTTCTAAAATACATTTAACAATCTACGAAACAAATAGACTTCTATCAGTAATAAAAGAATCCTTGTTTATGAAAGAGTAGTTAAATCCTAGTGACTGTTGTTTTACTATGTTTAACGCACACGTTATTTGACGTAAGCAGATAGTATTTGCTAATCGAAGCGTTAATGTAATGTAGATTTTCATTTATAATCGAACACAGTACACCGCTTTACTATACTTGCAGTATGTATATTATGTGGAACTGTATATTATGTGGAACTGTATATTATGTGTGTCACAGACTGTATAATTATGTATGTTTATATTATATTGTGTTTTACATGAAGTTGCATGAATGAAGAGTACCTGGCTAGCGGAAGGACTGTCTGAGCGATCGTCATGTGTTTTTCCATGTTTTTTGGGTGAGATCGCTCATGTACGTAAGGGGAGAGAATGGACCGCATAAAAGGGAGAGCAAAAAGGTGAACGGGTGTTGTGTGCTAGGACTTGGGACTGGAACGATGGCAGTGAATGTAAGATGTCTCCATGACTTGGAGTCGTGATTATTATTTGTACCTATATCAGTTGATCTTCAAATATGGATGTACCACGGATTTATCTGTACATAGTGTAAATAAAGTTGTCATTTCAAGTTGCCACTGTTGCTCGTGTTCCTGTATGAAAGCTAACCCACAACAACAAAGAATACATGTTGTTACATATGGTGTCAGAAGTGGGGGCAACACCAGTAGCTATGGTGTCAGAAGTGGAGGCAATAAAGTGATGTTGCTACATTGTATTACTGTTACTTATGATGTCACAAGTGGTTGAAGAATTGGTGCTACATATGTCAGAAATGGAGATATTACAGTCTGTGGTCTTCCACTGTTTACCAAGTACGTCAAGTTCTTGAAAGTCATCTATCTACACTCAAGGCAGAAGGGTTGCTGTAGTCAAGTCAGACGTTTTGTTCAAGTCAAGTCATCAACGTGATAATTTTTATCACCTTATTTCGATATTGTCTCACCAATGTCGAGTAAATATCGTCTGTGTGTTTTTTCTGTTTGGATTTAGCCGATCAAATCTTAGTGTTTCTTTTCTACTGTTTGGATTTAGCTGTTCCAGTTTTTTCTATATGGATTAGCTGTTCAAGTTTTTCTACTGTTTGGATTTAGCAGATCAAGTTTATTTTTGTAACTGTTTCTAAACTGTTCCTAAAGATGTCTTATCTAAAACTGGACAAATTTCCACTCTGAAAAAAGGCTACTGGAACTATTTTGAAATTTTTCAACTTTTTGGAATCAACAAAGTGAACTATTTTTGGACGTATATATGTACTATGAACTTTTC